CCAGGTAACTATAATAATCATTAAGACTGTAAACAGAGATTTTCTTTGAATCAGGATAAACACTGTCATGTTTCAGCTACATGGACAGTTCTGTGAGCACTAGATTTTCTTTAATTCTACATGTAAAAGTTGTGGAGATGGTTTTATTGCCTTCTTATTTTACTTCTTACCTCAGCTGTGAAGCAGAYTCTTACTGGAAGCAGTCTCAGCTGTTTGTCATACATCTCCTCTGATGAATAGAGAGCACCATGCTAACTGCCATCTCCCCAGGTTATCACCACCTATTTATATTGTCCAGGTCTAGTGGGATTTCTCTCTCCTGTTCCTGGCTTTAATGCTGTCCTCTTTTTCAGAAGKTCAAATTTCTTGCCTGCCTGCTATACACTGATATTCAGTATAGTTATCATTCTAATCTAAAGTATGTAGCACTCAACTCTTCCTTGAAATATAGTCTTWTCTAATGCATGAGGGTTTTCCTGCAGTTCTTCCACGAGGGTAGAAGGTAATCTCACACTYTTTACCAAAATCTCAGAATGAGTATTGAAACTGAAAGCTGACAAACTCATTCAAGCTAGTTTAATGCTGCTTCTCTGGCAAGAAGTTCTTGAGGAATTTAGTTTTTCTTACACAAAAGGCTTTGATAGCTTCAATTTGTCTATATGCTAAAGATGTGGCTGGAGCTGTTTGATTTCTTGCTATCCCCAGTTCCTGTTCAAATCCCATTCAAATTTTGATGTGAGAAAGCTACAAGTATGTGCTACATGTTTGATGTACAGGGTGAAATAGCTCCTCAAGTTACTGCAGTAACAAGTGATGAAACTATCCATGGCAAAAAACATCTGTGTTGTTCTTTCTGGAAGCAGAAGTTTGTAATCCCAGACATTCATTCTACTCTCTACCCATTGAAAATTCTCACTGGAAAGGTTATAGCCTGGAAGAAGTGAGCATTGATTCCTCCTCCAGACTGGATTGATGTAATTTTCTTAAACACCAGTGATCACCTTGAGAGGAGTGCATTTTGTGTGTAAGAGCCACTGTCTGTCTGATTGTGYCCTAATGCTGTGAGGCAGAGCAAAGATGGAATGAGTGTTGAGCTCAGGTAGCTGGCTCTTCACAAGTTGCAGAAATGAGTTTTTGACTAGTTTTGTAACCTGTGTTTCCCCATGGCAATTCCTTTCTTGGTTTTGTTGTTCACAGGAGAGAATCTGAATACATAATCCTTTAAATCCTGGCGAATATAGGTGACACAAGGCTGGATGTTTGTATTTTTCTCTTTAGTGGACCTAGACCAGTGAGGGTTGGTGTCTTGTCCCAGGTAACAAGTGACAGGACAAGATGAAACAGCCTCAAGTTGTGCCAGAGGAGGTTTATATTGGATATGAGGAACCATTTGTTTRCTGAAAGTGTTGTCAAGCTACAACAGGTGGTCCGGGGAAACAGTGGAGTCACTACCTCTGGAAGCGTTCAAAAAACATGTAGATGTGGCACTTWGGGACATRGTTTAKTGGTGRACCTGACAATGCTGGGTTAATGGTTGGACTTGCTGATCTCAGAGGTCTTTTYCAAACTTAGTGATTCTATGGTTCAGTGAATATCACAAGATTATTTTCCTTCAGGGATGAGATGGGAACCAAAGCACTGAACTTCCCTCTGGATTTGACTTACTCCAAACTTTGGCTGAGAGGGATCCAACATACCCTCCAGGAATAACACATTAATCCTCTTAATTTGTAATTTCCTTCTAGTTTATAAATCTAATTTTTATCCACATGGGCTAAAGTTTACGAAAGGGGAAATGCTGTAGCGTCTGTTAATGAAAGCCTTATGGGCGCGTGTGAATGTGCAGACTGTGAGCAGCGTGTAAACACAGGAGCTTCGTGTGCTCTGCATCCAGAGGTCCCTTGCAGGTGCTCTGGTGCTCCGAGCGCTCCTGGCAGGATCTGTGGCACCTGAGCAAAGAGGAGGGGTCTGTGTCTGCTAAAATACGCTGTTCCTTGTGGCGTAATTAAAAAAAAATTAACGCTCCGGTTGATGAGCGGCATCAGCCCCTCGCCGCCTCTGCCGCGCCGCCACCGGGTGGCGCTGTGGGAGCGCGGAGCCGCCGGTCCCGGTCCCGCTCCCGGCGCGGGAAAGGGGAATCCAGCGGGGAATCCAACGGGAATGAAGCGGGGAATCCAGCTGGGAATCCAGCAGGGAATCCAGGGAGAATGCAGCGGGAATCTAGCTGGGAATGAAGCGGGGAATCCAGCTGGGAATCCAGCGGGAAATCCAACGGGAATCCAGCAGGGAATCCAGGGAGAATGCAGCGGGGAATCCAGCCGAGATCCAGCGGGAAATCCAACGGGAATCCAGCAGGGAATCCAGGGAGAATGCAGCGGGAATCCAGTGGGAAATCCAGCCGGGAATCCAGCCAGGAATCCAGCGGAGACCCAGTGGGCAATTCCAGCCGGGAATCCAGCGGGSAGTCTGGGGGGAATGCAGTGGGGAATCCAGCCAGGGATCCAGYGGGAATCTTGTGTGGGGATCCCGTGTGCCTCCTACGGTGCTCAGTACCTGCGGCCGGGGTTTGCAATTCTGCCCGTCTGTGCCGATGGTTCCCTGTTTATGGTATCAGGAATTGCCCATATCAGGCACACGCCACGGTGCTCTGAAAATGTTTTGGTCACAAAGTACTTAGAAAATAGGGGATCTCATAAAAGTTTAATACGAGCAARTGGAAGGTGCTGCACCTGCGCTGGGGCAACCCCTGGTATCAATCCAGGCTATGGGATGAGAAGATCCAGAGCATCCAGGCTGAGAAGAACTTGGGGCTGCTGGTGGAGGAGGGGCCAGACATGCCCCAGCCCTCGCAGCCCAAAAGGGCTGCATCCAAAGCAATCAATTGTGTCSTGGGCTGCATCCAAAGCACCGTGGGCAGCAGGAGAGGGGGAATTTTGCCTTTCTGCCTTGCTCAGGTGAGATCCCACCTGTCCCAACTCAGGAAGGACGTGGAGCTGTTGGAGRGAGTCTAGAGGAAGTGCCAAGATGATTAAAACAAAAGAGCGCYATGGGGAATGGCTGAGATAATTTGGGCTGTTCACCCTGGAGAAAAGAAGGCTTTGGGRTGATCTAAATGTGKCCTTTCARTAGCTGMAGAAAACTGRCAAGRAAGATGGAGAGGAACTGTTTACAAGGGMCTGGAGTGGCAGGACAAGGCCAAATTGACAGAGAGCAGGCTGAGATTCGATATTAAGAGGAAGTTCTGTGCTGGGAGGGTGGTGAGGTGCTGGAACAGATTTTCCAGAGAAGTTGWGGATGCCGCAACCAGAGCAGGTCCAGAGCAGGACAATGGAGCTGGGGAAGGAACTGGAGCACAAATCCTCTGAGGAGCGACTGAGGGAGCTGGGGGTGTTGAATTGGAGAAAAGGAGGCTCAGTGGTGACCTCATCACTCTCTACAGCTCCCTGARAGGAGGTTGGAGCCAAGTGGGTTTCGGGCTCCTCTCCCAGGTAACTAATGACAGGGTGAGAGTCATAGTCTGAAGCTGCTCCAGGGGAGGTTTAGGTTGGAGATTAAGAAGAAATTCTTCACAGAAAGAGTGATTAGACATTGGAATGGACTACCCAGGGAGGTGGTGGAATCACCTGCAGGTTTGTAGGGGATGACTGAATGTGATACTCARTGCCATAGTCTGGTTGGCATGGTGGTGTTTGGTCATAGGTTGGACTTGATGACTTCAGGTYTTCTAATTGATTTTGTGATTCTGTGATCCCTGGAAGTGTCCAAGGGCAGGCKGGATGGAGCTCTGAGCAACCTGGTCTAGTGGAAGGTGTCCCTGTCTGTGACAGGGGGTTTGGAACAAGAKGATCTTTAATGTCCCTTCCAGCYCAAACTRCTTTATGATTCTGTGAGTCTGTGATTTTGGTGCATRTTTACACCCACACACACTCTTTCATGGTGAAAAAAGCTTTGAAAAGTTCTGAATAGTCTTTGGCCTTGGCCTTTTTGCCTCTGAATCATGGAAAAGGCACATATAGTTGTTATGGTGTGGTTTTGCAAAACCACTATTTGACTAATGCAGGTAAGAGTATCAGCTTTTGAGTCAGATCATATTCTTCTAAGATAAAGGCTAAACTCTTTGTGTTTTCAGGCTAAAGGAAAATTCTGACATCTAAATGCTTTATTTTTCAGCTCACAGTGCTATTAGACAAATCAGATTTTAGGAGTGTTGTGCTTCGATCTTCTGATATAGCCATGTTTAAGACATTTTAATCACAAACCAATTCAGTGTTCCAAGTGACAGAAGTTTTGTCATCCTCCTCTCTTTGTACTGAAACCCATGCTGCAAGTTTAGGTTATCCATCTCTCTTCAGTTCTGTGTAGAAAAGTTAAGTTTTAAAGAAAAAACAGCCTTTATTTAATGGGATCCCCTCCTATGCAGTGGTCTCTAGTATCTGTTATATCCCTCTGACCTGTTGCTGACCCTGTGTTGAGCAGGAGACCCCCCCCAACATCCTGTTCAGCCTGAGTTATGCTATGGCTGATGTCTTCATTTGCCTCAGATCTGCCCACTTGCTTTCTCCCATAAACAAGCTTCTTTTCCTCTCTCACCCTTTCCATTTTCCACCGACCTCATTTAAGCAGCAGACTGAGCTCTGTTAAGTTTTATATTTATGCACTGGAAGCTGGAATCTGTCCTGAGGCAGAAGGRCAGTGCAGGAGTGCAACAAGGGGCCAAACAGTGCAAGATTTTCTCCAAGAGAAGAGTAATGAGAGTCAGGGAAGCAGCACTTTTGGGAGCTGCCTCTGTGGGGTTTGAGTGCAGGTCCCTGACCAGATGTGCCTCTGCTGAATCAGGACAGCTCCTGCTGTGTGCCTGGGATAGTCAGGACCATTGATCAGACTTGAGTCTGGGGAAAATGAGGAAAAACAAAGCTTCCAAAACTCTGGGTAGAATGAGTTGTGGGCTGAAGTTATCAGCTTTAGTGTACCAAAGACTRTGATATATATGTCTGTTTTAAATAATGAATAAAATTTTATTTATTTATGTATTTATTTTCCTCTGGCCAAAAGCACAGMGTAGGAAACTCATAAGCCAGTTATTTACTTAATCATGTTGTCTCAAAGGATAAAACTGAAAAATTAATTTAGAATTTTTAATTTACTATTTTATCCCATTTTGAAACTGTATYTATTTTTCCTTTTGCCTGTGTGTCTTAATGATATTTTTCAAACATTTCAAGATTATAGATGAAATCCTGAAACCCTTGAAGAAATAATTTTGCTGTTGGCTCTATGGAGTCTTTTTCTACCCTGTAACAGTAGGAGGGATTCTRGTTTGACTTTGATCAGTGGTCTGTTACAGAAATAGGCTAATAAGTATTCATACTGGAAGTTTAAATCCTTGGTAAAATGGATTTATCACAGCAGTAACAAATGGGTCTTGCTGTCTTTGTTGTAGAGGATTTCACCCCAATTGAGTATAAGGCTCCACCACCTCCAGAACCAAAAAGAATAATTCCTCCTTATAATGGATTTGGTTCTGAAGAAGATTCTTTRTGCTCCTGTATGAGTGTGGTTGTCAAGCCTCAGCACAAGGATTACAGACAATTCCTGATGAAAGACAGGTATTTTGTGGGAAAAAAACATTTCAATTTTTGAAATTATGTATTTTTGTGAAGAAGACAAATGTTACGTAAGAATGTCATTTTTTTTTCAGCAAACAGCTCATCAGACTTTCAAGGGACAGGTGCATGAGGCCTGGATTAGTGACATGGCACTCCAATTTTCTGCAAACKCTGCAAAATTTCTCTTTGAAGAAATATTATGACCCTCCCATCCTTTTCCTCTGCTGTTTTCAGTGGGAATTTGACAGAAATTTTAGTCCAGGCATTAGTCAGGAATTTTTGTATGATCCAGCAGACCAACACAGATTTGTTTTTCTGTTTGATTTTCTAATACTTACTTTGTTTTTTTGTCTGCTGAATTTCATGCAGTTTACTGAAGCACTACTAAAGCTTTAACCCTTTGCTTTCCATTAKGAAATGGTTTATCAGGCAGCAGTAGTTGAAGCCAAAGCAAAAAAGCAAAGTCTTCTGCTAAAGATTCACCTGGAGACCCTCTGTAAAAGAGGAAAGCTGTTAGAAAAGGCTTGGAAATGTATGGATATACAGACACTGCAAATTATTTTAAACACAATCAATAAATAACCAACTAATAAGGTCATCTGGTGGACCTGAATTTGTGGGAGATAATCTTAGTATGAATTGCTATTCAGAATTTGGTTTGAAAATATACATATCTAAATCTGTTCTTCCTTTATAAATTTTTTGGAAAAAAACTTGGGGCTTGATTTGCAACCCAATTTTAATAAAAATTAATTCCAGACCTGTGGCAGAGAAGTAATTTTCCCCTGAATATTATTCCTTTCTTTCYGGCTGACTCTTATCTGGTTCTGTTAATTTAGGCTGAAAATGGTTTTTGACAAAGTAGTGAATCTTAGGCCATTTCCCTTCTTGGTGCAGTAATAACACAATTAATATCTGTTACAGAACTCAGGAGAAGGCATCTCTTAGGGGTGAGAATTTTTCTCATACTCTGTTTTTGATTTCTTATCCATTCCTTTGTTTTTTTAGATATGGCATGGAAAGTAACATACTGCGCTTTGCAGCAAAATTCATCACAGACAGTCCTATCGACAAGGAGCGAAAATTCATCATTTCCTATTTCCTGTGTGATGACACCATTTCCATTTTTGAATATGCAGAGAATAACTCAGGTAAGATGTAGTAATGTCTCTAATCAGCCCCACCCAGTTCCCCTGCTTATTTGGGTAGACTTTACAGTAAGCATTGTGGTTAGACTCATCTGTAGCAGAAGCAGGGATGTGGATTTTTAAATGGGATGGAAATTACATCAGCAGGTCTGCTGCATTATCTTGCATAGCTGGATGTCATAGTAATTCATGATCTTCCTCACTTAGAATTACATTGTGTGTTGCTTGACAGTACTTCACAATATCCTTTGGGAGCTGCAAGTTTAATGCATTAGAACTTTTATTACATTTTAATTTGAAAATCTGACCTTTAAACATTTGCTTTTGTTGTGGATAACATACAGGAATGGTATTATAACTGATGATAAATAGGGACAGGAAATAAAAGACTTCAAGAATGAAAGACTAAATCCTTTGCTTTGCAAAATTGTGTTATGAAACCTATACAGCATCYGTTGTATAGAAGCAGCTCATGAAAGCAACAGCTGTGACACTTTCTAACATACTTTATCATTAATCATGGAGTGCTGAGCATTTAAAGAGGGAAGACKGCCCTGTGCTAGAGTCTGGATGTGAGTGTGTATAATACTGCACTCCAAGAGCCAGACTGACAGTGTTTAAAAGGCAAATAAATGCTTTGTTWCTTCTCAGTTGCTTGACCACATTTATCCTGTTGCAGCAGCATGATTGCCAAATGTTGTCATGTTTAAATTCTTTTGGCCACTGTTGCCTGTTGTCAGCTGCCTCCAGCTGAGGATTCAAAAGATTTTGTGATTTTCAAGCATCTTTTTATTTCCTTGAAGTGTCTKGTGCACGGATGGAAGGACACAGCAGTGGGAAGGATGTCAGGAAATAATTCTGTAATTCAGAGAGATGGGGAAGCTTTGGCTAAGCATGACTCTGTTGGAGAAATGGGTGTCTTTCTGTGAAGCCCATAAAACATCTTCAGCAAAAGTTTCAGAGCAGTTAACATCCAGAAGTGCCTTTCGAATCCAAAGGGTCTCTGATGGCATCTCTGCTTGTATCCAACTAATTATGAGTGCATAATAGGGACCTCACCCCCAACTAAAATACAAGYAATTCTCTGGGAAATGTTTTAAACATGTGTAGAGTACCTGTTTAGGACTTCAGTGGGCATTCCCTATGAATGACTTCAAGATTTAGCATTTTTACGACAGCAGCGTATTGTTATCAATATTTTACTCACTTCCTGGCATCCAGTGACCTGTAATTTATGGAACTTCTTTTGTTGCAGCTAAATACACACACWCTTACATATTAAATATCTAATGCAGCTGTGATACTCAAGAGCAGCTCAGTTCTCCACCAGTGAATTGGACACATTTGCTTGGCATTCTTTGTTTCTGGAGACATAAAGGGTGCTAAAGGTACAGCTGCACTGTCAAATTGAAGCAGTCCAGAGAACAGTTTGAATCTTGGACTCCAAGCATGTGTACTGCCTGTTCAGTCACTTCTAACTTTACTTTGCACCATTCCAACTAGACAAGGCCCCAGAGGGCCTGGGATCCCTCCTGGAAGATGCTGAGCTCCAAAAAACTCTCCTCCAAAGCAATAAGGGCAATGCTGCACCAGGTTTGACCTGTTCAACCCTTATCAGACATCTAACACTATCCCAGGAGGGTTTGCACACTCAAAAATCCATCTTTTATTCACTGTTAAGAATGAAAAGGCTTTGCAGAGGTCAGGGAAGAGAGGCTGAGGAMAAGGAGTAAGGTATGCAAAATAGCCTTACTGGCCATTCCTTTTTGCACAGGTTCAGAGGTTTTTGCCTTTTTATTTACATGAGCTGGTACAAATTGGCAAGTAATGCTTCAGATCTCAATCCTAAAATGGAAGTAATAAGTTGCTCTCAGTTTTCTTGGTTCAGCAGCCTGATGGTTTCAGAGAAATATTGCACTCTAATGTTAGTAACATTGGGAAACTCCATGCAATTCAAACTCCATGCAATTCACAGGGCTGGACATCTTGAAGCACTTCTTGAGATGGGGATCAAAGCATGAGAACTTTGGCTCCCCATGAAGAAGATCACAACCCCTTTTTTACTCAGTGTAAGACCCAGCCAACAGCTGTACAAACACCTGCAAACTCTGATCTGATCTTAATGGAAGAGGGTCTTTCGTGGTGTGTTTATTTTGTGCTTTGAGCCTGGCTTTTGTAGATTTCCATCAAAACTCCTTATCAGGTTTCAGTGTAAAATCTCTAACTTAATGAGATATTTTTAGTCATTTTTCTTTATACGACTTGTAATGCATTAACCTGTAATGTTTAAAAAAAACATTATGGGACAGAAGTAAGCTTCCAATATAAGTGCACAATTGCAGGGAAATAGAGAGGCAAGAGTGAATTTCCAGTCAGCGAAAGAGACATTAAATATTGAAAACAGTTGCCAGGATTATATAACCTAAAATTTCTTATTTGTTTTTATAGCTGGGTGAAAAGGAATGTGTTAACATTAGAGGCACATTAATGATTTGAATTGTTTTCTGATTCAGGCAAGACCTGATGATTACCATAGTAGGGGTTTTTTTTTGGTCTTTTATGGTGATAATAAAGCAATTAAGACAGACATCTACTCCAAACTCTGGTTTAATAAGTAGTTTGGGTTTCACATTCATTTATAATTTTGACTATAAAAGGCATTTGATTACATTGTTCTTCAGCCTTTTATTGGACTTGCATCACTACCTGATATTAGGGCATCATTAAATGTTACTAAAGTAAGCTTTTGGCTTTTGGCTTTTTGGCTTGGAAGCTGAAATATCAACAGGATGGAAACCCCAAAGTTGTTGTAGGGCACATGTCCCAGTGAAACTAAACATGTGACAGAAGGTTTCCCAGAAAGCCTGGTACATGCAATGCWGTCCTGTGCTACACCAGAATTAATACACAAGTGAAAGTGAAATGTTCCTTTTAGCATCTTACCTACCCTTGAGAACCTCGTGCAGTTTCTAGTGACACAAATAAAATCATGATACTGTGAAAAGGAGCCATGTGGCACACCCACCTCACGGAGCAAAGAGCAGATCACAATTAAACTGCATTGGCAGAACAATGTTTGGAAGGCAGTGTCATGTCACTCCTATGCTTTAAAAAATTCAGAAGCCCTTTAAAAGAGGTTAGAATTGCAGTRCATCAGAATTCACAGTCTTCGTACAACAGCCCTCTCTTAAGYTGTGGTTTTTATTTTCCCTTTTCTGCTTTCAACAGTTTTAGGATAATTGCCTGCATTTTAGTTTTTGGATCTTAGGTTTCTCAAGGGCCAGTTCCAAGGCTGGCGACAGGGTTGTGGGAAYGATTTGAAGAGGCACATTTCTGTCCCATTTTAAAGAAAAGCCAGGGAAGGCGTTTGGCAGGCATTCAAATGAGACATGACACAAAAGGTGCACAATTTAACTGTTGCTGTGGACACTGGCAGAGACAGTCCTTTTAGCAGTGAGAGGGAGGGGAAGGGAATGTTCTGTGACAGGAWACTGGAGCCCAAAACATGGTATTTAATTACAAATCTGGTTTGGGGTGTCTTTTTGTTGATGGTTTGGAGGGTTTTTTTGTGTATGAGTGCAGTTTTTTTCCAAGTAAAGCTGTAATTAATTATTTTAAATTCTATTCCCATAGGGATAGTAGGTGGGAAGTTCCTGGAAAGAGGTCGAATCAGGAAGCCTGGGCAGGAACTCTTTAAGAGTGAGCCATCTGAATACTACAAGGCTCATGATCTGTTTATTGGAGCCAGAGTTTGTTTCCATGGTCACAACTTTCTTTTGGTGGATGCTGATGAATACACGTTCAACTACATGGAGAAGAATGCAAATGAGGTGAAGCAGGCTCTTGTTATTTTCTGTTATCTCTAAGGACTGTGATTTAGCTGTATATTTTTMAGAATTATTTATGCTCAGGTTCCTCACCCAAAGTTCACAGCCCAGTGCTCYCTGTCTAGCATTTGATTTAGGAGATGCCAGCTGGGAGTGCATGCAGGTCTTGGCCACTCTTTACTGTTCATTCCCTTTTCCTTTCTCAAAATCCACTCAGACTGCATTAGGGGTTKTGACAATGGATATCCTTGCCTATTCCTTCTTGTGTATGGCCCTCTTTTCCCTGAGTTGATCTAACCCTTCTTGAACCTACAGATACTGTCAGCTTCCACAACTTTGTGTAGCAGAAAGYTGAAAAGTGCACTGCCGGCTATAAAAACAAATATCTGTTAAAAAAGTGTCTTTTATCTGTTTTAAACCAGCCTCCCACTATTTTCAATGCTACTTCCAGTGAAAATCCCCATTCACCTTCATAATTTTGTAAATCTAAGGCATCCTTCCCACTCAGTCTGATCCTGTCCACTTCAGAGTCTCACCCTTTTTAGTCTATCCCTGCAAAGTAGCAGTGAGATGTGGAGACTGGAGCAGTGCAGAGTGCTCAAGTTGTGGACACATCCAATTTGGTCTTTACTGATGATGCTATTTTGTGTCCTGATTTTRTTTTCTGGCTTCATGCATACTTTTCTGACAAACATTTCCCTTGTAGTGTTAGAAATTCATATCTCAGCCAAGAATTCAAGCTCACAGTTTGTACTGAGTTTCACTATCTGCCTTCAGAGGGRAGAGCAACAATAAATTGAGAGCTGAGGTGCCTCTGTTGGTTTTTACTTTAGCAGAATAGCGCATTTTTTTCGTAAATTAATGTAGATTGGCACCATCTGCCTTCCCTGGAACAAGGAGAACTATCTGCAAAATGCTTGTGGATGCAAAATGCTAAGGCTGCTAAATTCTTCCAGCTTTAAAATACAAAGCTTAAGGCTTAAAAATACAATCTATTATGTTTCCTTCCTGCTGGGCTATTTCTCCTTCTGGTAGAATCCAACSCAAAGCTATTGTCCAAAATGTAGATCTCATCTTTAGATTGTAAATGTTCTTTGGAATGTTGTTTGCATTGATTGTCCTGGAGGAAATGGAAGAGACCCTGATTTTCCAATGAATGATTGTATAGTATAAAAAAAAATTATGCAAAATGGGAAGAGGCAATATTTAAAATATTTCATTGAAGTGAATTTTGAAAAGTTATTTGAGGATTTTAATGCAGCTGGTAGAAAAAAAGCTTGATTCTCCCAATGGTAGCTGCTTCAGTCACRTCCTTTGTCTAGAGCTCCAGAAGTTTGCCTCAGTTGATCAGGGGATCTCATTCTCAAATCATAACAACTTCAGCAATTACTAGAGAAGATCAGAGCTGGAAAATTGTTTGGAAGAAGGGGAAACAATTTAAAGATGACTAATTGTTGGTTGTTTCTAAAATTAGTAAATAAATAATTTTCCTTCKGAATAGACAGAGGTTTCCTTTCAGCAGAACATATCAGTATGTTTTCTGAAAACTGGTGAAAGAAATCTGCATGGAACATATTTTTTTAATGAAAATTGTCATTTTGACCTCAGTTCTGTAGGCATATGGTGATTTAGATGAAATTTTGATGGGTAATCATAGTGCAGGTTGATATTGAAAATTTGTTTGACACCATGAAAAATATTTGGGAAATTCAAAATTTCAAAAACTGCTTCAAAATTGTACTTGTTTTATTGTTTTAATGTTAAAGGGAGTGAAAAACCACAGAGTCCTGTCATTTTGATTGCCGCTTTTACTGAAAGKAACTTCAAGAACCTAGTTCACAACTTTTCAGCACTTTTAATTTCTTTTTCAATTCAAAAGAAAAGATATTCATTTAGCAAACTGTTGATTTTCTCTCAAAACAGAACACATGTGTTGTGCAGAGTCCTACTGGGATTATCCAGGTTTGGGGAGGACTGTTTCAGACAAGGCATGACTGGAAGGGAATTCAGCATCTCTGAACAATCTCAATTGTTCCAACTTTGCTGCGGCACAAACATGGAAAAGGATTTTATTTCCATTGAATTAATTAAAATAACATCTGACTTAAGCGAGACAATCAAAACTGGGCTGTGACTAGAAACATGTCAGCATTTACATGAGAAGAGGGAAAGAGGGTGAATTTATTGCCATGCTGTTCAGATACTCAATGCCTATGTAAGCATTTGGAATATATAGTTTAGAGGAAAAAGATGTAAAAATAGCTGTTTTTGATAATGTACAGAAGACAGGCACTTAAATATTCAGAACACTTTGTCCATCCTGAAATACCCTGCTCAGTCTTTTCTCCCTGTTCCTTGCTTGATCAGCAGAAGGCTGTGTGCTTATGGCCCAGACAGAAACCTCTTGGAGAGGGGCCTGGAAAAGTTGCTGTCTCTAAAACTCTCGGATTGCTGATCCAGCTGCTCCAAACCACTGCCTTGCAGGGCACTGCCTGCCAGGGCTGCACCTGGGGCTTTGGCTTAGGCAGAAGTTGTCTTCTCTAATTCTGAGAAAAATGTGCGAGCACTGATGTATTGATTAAAGTTGGATCAATTTGTACTGCCCTGGCAGCACCACAGGGACTTTAAATACCCTTTTCTAGATCACTTTGAATTGATACAAAGCTGTAGACACACTACAGCATAGTTGCAAGTGAGGCCCAATTTTTATGTCCTGGTCCTTAATATCAGTCATACCAAATTTCAAATAAGTGCTCCTGGAAGAAATGGGAGAAAAGCATTTTCAGGCAGCTCATTGTGTTTTTTAAGTTAAGTAGAGCATGACAGATGTAAGGACATAGCAGATAATCATACTCAAAGTCACCCTCAATTTAATGAGTAAATACTTCTATGTTTTATATTAAAAATTAGTATAGCAAATCAATCTTTTGTAGATCACTAACAAAACAATCTGAATACAGATTGAAAGCTTTAGCATTTCAGTTCTGTTTGATCTCTGTTCAAATTTATTTCAATGGTCCAGTTAGGAAGAAATAAACATTTAAACATTTTTATATACAACAAGAAAAATTGATTCGTAAAAACAGTTCTAATCTGCTAATTCTGAGTATGTCAGACAATGTACTTCAATATCAATGAGACTATTTGTTGTAACATTTCACTGGAGCCACTGATGAAAAATCAGTTTTAACTTGGTGGTATTTATGACTTGAGAATTCAGTGAGGTGCACCAACACAAAATGAAGAACAAGTTATTAAACTATTTTAAATGTTTCTACCTCTGCTTTAAGAATTCAGGTTCAAGAAAAAGTGGATATTCTTTTATGTAGCTGGACTAAACTTTCTTAGAATGCATGATCTGATTTTTGTTTAATTGTTTAATTGTTTATATTCTTGATAGAAAGCAACTGGTTTGTTGTTGTTTTTTTTTTTCAGTAGCAACCTCCCTTCCAAACCTAACAGTGTGATGATTTATACAACTGAAGTGAGGAAAGGAAAAAGCTGATAATGCTCTGCAGTTCATTATTGCCCTACACATTGTTGACATGCTTGATGGGCTGCAGATTGCTTTTCATAGAATGGCTTGGATTGGAATGAGTTGGGGTTAGAAGGGACCTTAAAAATCATCTAATTCCATCCCCCCTGCCAGGTCAGGGGCACCTTCCACTAGACCAAGTTGCTCAGAGCCCATTCCAGCCTGGCCTTGAACACCTCAGGGATGGGGCAGCAACATCTTCCCTGTGCCAGAGCCTCAGCCCCCTCACAGGAAAAAACTTCCCCATAATATCTAATCTAACCCTACTCTCTCTTCCAGTTTGAAGTCATTCCCCCTTGTCCTGTTGCTCCAGGCTTTTATAAACAATCTCTCTCCATTTTTCTTGTCAGCTCTCTTCACATAGGGAAAGGCCACATTTAGGTGACCTCAAAGCCTTCTCTTCTCCAGGCTGAACAATTCTCTCAGCCTTTCCTCATGGCAGAGGTGCTCCATCCCTCTGATCACTGTGGTGTCTCCTCTGGCCTTGCTCCAGCGGTGCACACATCTGGGACATGTCCAGCCCTCATCCATCAGCCCCCCAGGTCATTCCAACCCAGGACTGCTCTCCATCTGTTTATCCCCCAGCCTGGACTGATACCAGGGATTGAGACCCAGGTGCAGCACGTTGTACTTGGTTTTATTAAACCTCATAAGATTCCCATGGGCCCATTTCTCCAGCCTGGTTAGGTATTTCTGGATGGTATCCCATCCTTCAGGTCTTTATAATCTTTATAATTTTACTTTCCTCTCTTAAGTTCCCTATGTCTAACATTGATGTCGTCTTCAACAAACTGAAGAACTTGACTGAATCTCATGCCAAGGAAATCAGAAAGGCATTTGCTACGTCTGACACTGAGCATACCAATGTGGTTGGGTATGGTGCTTTCAGGTAAGAGAGTGGATTTGGAGTTTCAATGTTTAACAAAGGCACGTTCCCCCAAAATGGATACACCATGACTGGGTTTCGATGCTTTCTGCATGTGTTTGCTGACAAATGGCATAGATTGAGTTTGCATTTTGTTGGAGATTGTGTGTGAAAAAGAAAGTGAATCCACGCTTCAGAAGAAAAAAGAGAAATGTGATGGTTTCAAGTAAGCTGAAAAGCACAAGTGAAATCTGTCTGCTTTTTATGGAACTGACTCAGAGGGTTGTGAAGAAGGGCACAAGTGAGCAGTAATATAACGATAAAGAAAAGTCCATCCTGAGAGTAAAACAAATTGATCAGTAGCTTTGAAATTCAAGTATGGATGTTTGAGTTGCCTCCTGGAAATGATGTTTGGGTTTTGAATCACTGGTAAAGAAGACAGTTTTTACAGAACTAAGGTGTATTGAAATTATAGAAGTGGTAAGCATGTTTAAAAAAGATTGGAAAGCAATAATTAATACTTGGATAATAATTTACGTATAGATAAAGGGAGCAGAAATCTATGTTCTGGCAATGACCCAGATATGGCAATGGGCAGATGCATAGATCTTCTGTAGAACTTGATAGAGGAAATTGTGCTCAAATACAAGCTGATTTCAGTTAATCCCATAGCCAGAATACTTGACCATATTAACTGTGTTGGGCACGGTACTGGCAAAGTTAATGATGTGAAACAGAGGAGAAAACTTTTACTTGGAAGCACTTGGTTTTCACTGAAGTAATACACTGTGTATTTAGGAACTGTCATCATAACCAAGGCATTTAAATAGATGCGTATTGCATGGAATGTCATCTCCATAGGAATGCTAACCGAGGCAGAAATTGCTTCTGAAATATCTCAGAAGAGAAACAGATCAGCAGAAGGTTATTTCAGCAATTCAAAGTGAAAATAGTGAGAGGTTAAAACAAGCTGGTATTCAGAAACGAGAAATAAGTGATTAAAAGGTAGGATTTAAACTAAGAGACGCCATAGTTTCTAGCAGCTTTTGGTCAAAATATTTCTGAACCCAGATATTTTACTCAGCAGAAACAAGACTTTGAATTGCTAATTGAATTAAGAGGGAAGATGTTATTAGTTGAGTAAGAAGGGAGAAAATTGAGAGTTAACATTTAATGGGAGAAAGTTTCTGCCAGTTGGGAAAGGCTTTTAATTTATGGACAAGGTAACTATTTAAAATAAAAAAAAAATATGGTTTTAGTTTAAATTGTGAAATAATCGTCTGCAAACCTTTGTGCATCCACTAAAAGCACCTCAAAGATCTGGAAAATTTGCATGAGAAAATTATGGAGGCAACCTTTTAGAAGGGACAACTGTACTTTTAAATGGCAGGGAAAGGTTTTTATTTTATCCAGAAGAGACTCAGTTGGGTGTAAATTTAATCATGGACATAATCTGTGCAGCTGTGAACAGCTCAACTGTTTAATTTAGGGTAGTGCTATTCTGTGACATGGAGTGAGATATGTCTGCTCAAGGGGTACTGAGGGACTTGGTTACAACAACAAAAAATGCAGGAGCCCTCTCCATGAGCAGGAAAGCTGGGGAAAAATCAAGATTTTCTTGGCCACAGTGCTCACCTGGGCTAGTGTCAACACCCACTAATGGTCCCCATCCCCTCCCATTCCACAGGGAATGCTCACATTGCCAGAGCAAGAATTTACCTCTAAGGAACACTGACTATTTGTGCTCCATAGTAATTGTAGGTTTTGTTTCTGTTAATTTGTATTGTATCCAGTAATCTAAAGGCTCTCTTCTTACTATTATCCATGTGTCTTATTTTAGAACGAAAGAAGCATTTTCAATGACAAAAATGAGAACACTTCTTTACATCTATGAAAATGCCAAGATATTTTTATGTGAAAAGAATATATTTTTCTTTCCGTTTTCTATTGTGTACATCAGTGTTTATCTTTAATCTGCCATGACATTTGATGATTATAACTAACAACAAATGATTATTTTTAGTACAAGCAATTATCTGTGTGACAGTTTCAATGATAATCCTCTTTTCTTATCTTAAATACAGCTGAAGTTTCACTCGTGCTCTGAATTTGGCTGTTCAGATTTCTTCCTTTCTACCTATGTAATTTAATATGATCTGCATGTAAAAATAAATCTATAAGTATTATATAGTGAAGAGAATTGTAATTACACAATTTACTTTAACTGCTTTCAGAACCCAAATCTTCAGTACTTCATCCAGGAAATAAATATGTGATATACATGAGGCTGTCCCCTAAGCTATCATTAAAACTATTGAAAGCTTTGCTAAAAAGAGAATTAAAAAATAACTAAAACTTAGGTGCCTGTGCATCACACAGCCCTATCCAGGGTGTTTTGTATAAGCTATTGGCAAGACTGTTTGCTGTTAGAGACGAAGAACCATGTGGGTCTAAAAAAGATGCCTATCTTCAATTCAGCTTGAGAAGTAGCTCTCTTGAGCAGTTACTTATGATTTCTTCTTTCTATAATAAATTCAGATTGCAATCTGTCTTTTTCTTCTAGAACAAAAAAAAAAACAAAAAAACAAACAAACAAAAAAAAAACCCGAAAAAGTAAAACAAGAGATAGCTAAGCTGTGGGAACAATTATTG